CATATTATCGGACTGGGTTTCGGGTTGGGTCAATGCACACAAACTGGTTTAATACATCCACGGTTGGGCTTGGGTTCAAAATGTTCTCTCCGGTACTGGTCTAATCATTTTGGACCCTTCGGATACAAGTCCAGGTCCGGATCTGGGTAAACTAGGTACTATTTTGGGTCCAATGGGACCCGACCCGTTGCCATCCTTAATTGTGACCACGACTTCAATGGTGAGATCTTCAACTATCTATCAAGCAACATTGGGAAAAAGATAATGAAACTTCTTGTCTTTTTTTCTTTTAATGGGCCATTTTACAAATTGACATTCACTCATTTACTCTAGGAACTCAATTCCTACATTTCCATTCACTGTTCTATTGATATGGCCCAATTAACATATATTCATTTATTATCAGTTCATCCCTAATTAATTCCTAAATTTTCTTTATACCATTTTTTTTTTCCTAAAATTTGTATCCTAACCTTCACTATAGCCAATTTAGTCCGGCATCCATATCTAGTCTCTTTTTTTTTTTCATTTCTCATGTTTTTGTCATTTATGTGGGTGCACCACTTTCATAGCAAGTTTTCCAACTGAATTCTCTCAAATGGAATAAAAGTGCATAGTGCATATGTTTTAGATCAATGCTACGGGACTGAAAGCCGACAGAGGAAGAGTTGGGGCTAGTTCCACAGCAACTCGCCCCACCTTTATAAAGGTCTTAAAAAATTATAAAAAAATGCATGAAAATGGAACACCCTATATTAGTTAGAAATTTTTATATATAAATTTGATGGTTTTTATGACGATTTGGGAATTTTAAATTTTTTTTTTTAAAATTTTCTAAAATATTAAAGATATAAATTAAGATTTTCGACTATTCATCTTTTATAGATTTTATCTTTTTAATCTTATAATAGTTCCTACAACGTCTTTCATTGTTTTTCTTTTAACAAAAATATTTTGATAGGGCTGCAGCCCTATGAAAACAAGTAAAGTTTTGCCTCAATGATCATAAAAAATTGCAGTTCTGGTATAGGAAAACTTTCAAATCGTTCGTCTTGACCTTGACCATTATGGTTGCGAAAAAAAAAAAAAAGGATCTCAATCTCTACAAATAATACATATTGTAACACATTATCTAGACAATCTATTTTCTAGTGTTTATAGATCCGTATGATCTATAGTATTTCTTGAGGTACAAAGTTCATAATCCGTATTAGATAGAGCTATCATAGCATTTCCCATGCCCAAAGTGTTTTTTCGGACATGGTTTCAAAATGAGGCTTTACTTTTCTTTCATAAGGCCTAGGACTTAGAGAAACTACATCCATCACGAAATGCTGGCCTGTTAAGGAATGATAAAACAATATAAATCACTTGTGCACAAGGGATTGTTGTTGTAGACTTCATTATAGAAAATCCAAACACCAAAATTGGTACATCAATGGCAGTTTTCAGAAATTAAATAAAACCAGATTTATGTTTGTGTTCCTGAAATCGAATTTCAAACACGATGAACCCGTCCTGAGGGGGCTCGATGTACGTTTAGTTAGTGATTTTAGGGCACATGCATGAACTAGGAAGGGCATGTGTAAGGGAAAATATGAGTTAAATGGTCTCCTTACAAAATCATTAAGGGGTTCAATGATCCCATTTAGCATTGCAGGATTATTTGAATACTTTATAGCTTTGCATTTCAACTCGGTACCTATCCAAAAAAACTTGAAAATGTCAAAAGTGCCCTGATTAGGAAACCTCAACGATCATTGGTATTTTGGTATTTAGCCGAAGTAAAGATAATATCATTGTTTCTCACTTGGCCCTTGATTCTATTTCCAAGACTTTTGAGGTACCTCTTTGAAATGAGAGTTAGAAAGTAAGCCTACAATCCTAAATAGGAACCCCAAATCCAAGTTTATAAAGAATTAGAGGTTAAATAGTAACCCTTTCAATGTTAAATTGAGATCCCAAAATAATTTTGTAAGAAAATTTCACTATTTCACTATATTTTCCTTTCTTTTTTTTTTTCTTTTTTTCCTTTTAAGCACGTATACAATGCTCCCTCGACAACATAGTTTATTTCTACACCCTCGTTCAGACCTACTTTGGAGTATTTTTTTCAAACTGAAATTTTAGTAACAACCTTGGAATCACCAGATGATTATTCTCAAAAAACAAATTTCAAATTTTGAGTTTTCTAGCAACAAGATCATACCCTCTAAAAAATTAGATGGCTTGTATTCAATCTTGAGACATTACTTTTTGTCAAGTGCTTCGAAGGTGCAATTAGGAAAAAAATTTATTAAGGATAGCCTATTTGTTAAAGGGGAAATCATTCTATGCTTTCCCTACAACATAAAACTTAGATACTTCCCTTTATCCAGCCGTCCATTCTAAATGGACGGCTAAGATTGCCCCAATCACAATGTCACGTCCCTACACTATTTTATTTTTAAATTTTTTATATAAACTATTTTGACAACAAATTTTTACTTTCAATCCTCTATTAAATTCGTACTAGCGAAAAATATAAAAAAATATTTTCAATAAAATAAAATGACCAAAATACCCCTGAAAGTTTCAAGGGGTATTTTGGTCATTATATTTTATTGAAAATTTATTTTAAATATTCTTTTTAGGTGCAGCCCAATGAAAATATGGGAATGCCAAATTTCATATTCATACAATTTGCATAAAAAAATGAAGATAAAAATAAAATACTTTGAGACGCCGAATCTAAGATCAAACGGTGAGTGGTTCTCTTGATCAAAATTAGATGGCTGGATGATAGATCTTCTATGGTATAAGAGAAGTATAGAAACGTTTCCCTTGTTAAGAAAGTTATCTCCCCCAAAATTTAGAGTCCTTGTTAAGAAAGTTATCTCCCCCAAAATTTGGAGTCCTTAAATAAATCCTATGTCGGGTTTTACCCGATAGAGTAAATAAACAGTGTACTCTCGAGGGAGTAGAATATCTTTTAGCTTCTCTTTTCTATAACAGTCTGTGACTTGTGAGGGTACTTGTAAAAACTTATTCCTTACTTGGGACATTTATTTCATGAACTCAATTGGGAGTGTGGAGAGAGTCTCTTCAGCTACCACTTTTCACCATCGTTGTCCCTTACTAAATGATGCCATTTGGCTTTCTAAAACCGGCATAGCAAAAAAAGGAAAAGTTTGGAACCATAAAAACGACCTACGCCCTTGGTAATAAATATAAGACAAGAGATATATAACTAGGGTCCTTGTTTTTAATGGAAAATTGTTTCATGCCGAGCCGCATTTCTATATATACTGTCTAGAAAGCGTAAAGCATTCATTTTAAAGATGGATGCAAGTAGGTGTTCCATCTAAAAATATTGGAAACTAACGATTCAAATGTTTTTTTGTTAGAATTATTATTTCTAATTTTTAAAATTTATTTATTTATTTATATTCATGATTTCCATGTTAGAGATTGTATGTTCTTAACAATTAAGTCTTAAAATTCATCTCAAAAATAGATTTATTAGGAGGATTGCATTTTTACATATGTGGGCTTCAACGCATACTTTTATTATAAAGTTATTTGTAGAAGGAAAAAGTTTATATAAGGGTGAAGCTCTAAACAATAAAATTATGACGCACCTTAAAAATTCACTAGAAGAGGTTGTTTTAATGCCCAAAAATCTTCAGAGTGCAGCTATGCAGGGTGGATTTGGGCTCAGCTCTGTTCTAAATGTGGATATGATCAGCCCGCAACCACTTCATGATGTGCCGATGGATATAGATCAAACTAGAATCGGCTTACTGGCCTGATCCTAAAGCTCTGCTTTACAGCAGTCATATACTATGTT